TATCATGAGTGGTGTATCCGTTAGCATCAAACATATCTCTTTGGACAAGCTTATTAAGTTCCACATTGGAACCTCTGGTACCGGGTAACATATTTCATACATGAGCCACAGTATTGTTTTTCCCGGGCGAGGACTTATGCCACAGTATTATTTCCCTCGGGCAAGGGCCTGGGCCACGGTATTGTCTCCCCTGGGCAAGGGCCTCTGCTAAGGATACCACATAAACATTTCAAAGAAGTGGATCATCATTCATGTAATCACATAATAGCTTTTTGTATCATTCAAAAACAGTTCATATCATATCATAATGTTCGGAAAGTATTTCATATTGAATATAGCTTTATTAAGTTGTTACTCATAGATAGCTTCACAGATAGCTTGGTAGCAAATCAATGGATTAACCGCTCACGGCACATGACCTACACCAATCAAAACAGATACATATATTGAAACACACACTTGGATTGTACATAACTCATTTCATTTTGTTCCTAGTGTGTTTTTAGCCTTCACTCTCATTATTATGTCTTAATCTTAGCCTAGGAATGCCTAGGATGCAATGAGTATGCCAAAATGTGCCTGAAAACACTTAACCAAACTTGTTGAAAACAGGGGTCCCGTTCGAGCTCAACTTTCTTCGCTCGAGCGGACATGTAAACATGATGGCCGCTCAAGCGCAACTTCCTTCGCTCGAGCGGTTTGCAAACTTTGAAAAAGTACTGGTTGTGTGATTTTCAAGCTCGAGGGTCACTCATGTCCGTCGAGCGTGAGACTCAAGTCTTTGCTCGAGCGCAACTCTTGTCGCTCAAGCGGTCTGCAAAAACATGAAACTTCTGGGAGCTTGCATTTCACACTTGAGCGAACTTCTGGTCGCTCGAGCAGAAGTGCAAGATCGCAGAATGGTCGCTCAAGCGGAGAATTCGTCGCTCCGCTTGAGTGGAGAGTAGAATTCTAGAATTTTCAGATTGCTCTACTCAGTTCAAAACTCAAATTCGAAACTATAAAACATGGTCTTTTGGGGAAAAAACTTGAAAAAACTATAAGAAATACTTGTAAATGGTGAAACTATGGTAAATTTAAAATCATTTCACAAAATCAAGGCCCAAAAGCTTGCCAATTGTCCAAAACAAAACCCAAATCTTTGAAAATATAACATCACATATCATGCATGTAAAGGTGCAAGTTCCAAGCTTTTAAAACATGATCCAATGAGGTGTGTAACTCAAAAACATGTTGAATTCTTAGAAGAAGATCAAGATAAGGACATGCAAGAGGAGATTCTTTGAAAACAACCTCAAATTGTGCTCAAATGAACATGCATGCATGGTATGATCTATGTTCCTTCCTTCTAGCTCATTTCTCACAATAAACCACACAGTTCTCTAGAATTCATAAATTCACCAACTCAAGAACAAGATCAAAGGCTTGAATTCTTACCTTAGCTTGTCAATGTGAGAACTAGGAGCTTGATTCTTGTTGTTTTAAGTCCAATTCCTTCAATTTCTAGCAAATTCTTTGGTTGAGCTCAATCTCTCCTATCTCTCCCTCTCTCACGTTTGTCTCTTGAAGGCTCAAAAATGATGAGAAAAAGATGGCTCAAGTGGTGTGTATAGGCCTTATATATGCTTAATTAGTGGCTTGATTAAATTAGCGCTTAAGCTACTCAATTGGACATTGATCAATCTAATTTAATCGCTCCGAATCAAATTTCAATTGAACCCCCCATAGTATTCTAAAAATTCCAAATAACACATAAACCAAGTCAATTTCGTAATGCACAGCCTCATTGTGTTGCAAAAGCTCTGGAATGGTTGCTCTTCTCCCTTGGAATCAGTTTGCATGTACTATTTTGGCTTTATTTGGGATGTTGACTATTGTAGTAGATTATTTTAGTTTTTGATTATTTTTATAGGTTAAAATTTTTATATTTAGGAATATGGTTGAATTTTTTTATAATTGAATGTGATACTTGTGAGAGAAAAAAAATGAAATGATTATGGATTTAATTTTAATAGGTTAAAATTTTTATATTTAGAAAAATGGTTGAATTTTTTTATAATTGAATGTGATGTTTGTGAGAGGAAAAAAAAATGAAATGATTATGGATTTAACGTAATATTTTATCTTATTGAAACTATGTGGGTGTTTGAGAAGTGAGTTTTTATGTAGGTTTTTTTAGTTATAGGATATTACTGGAGAAATTTTTTGTGTGTTTAGAAAGATAGTTTGGTTTTTTTGTGATTGGATGTGATGTTTCCGAGAGAAAAAATAAAATGATTATGGGGTTGAATGTGATATTTTGTTTGGATGTGTTTTTTTTGATTTTGCAAAAAGTTTGTCATTTTATGAAAAGAAAGAAAAAAAAAAAAATCCAAGTCCCAAACTTCCCAAACACCACCTATGTATAGTTTTGACTTTTTGGCTAAAAATGTACAAAAGAAAAAATTGACTACATAAATCATTAAAACAAAATATCACATATAAACCATACTCATTACATTTTTTCTCTTACGAAAATCAAAAAAGTCAAAAACAAAAACTAAGAGCATCTCCAACCCATCTTCCATATCTTCAAATATGGAGGATCCTCTCCTAAAAACAACTCCAACCCATCCTCTATATCCTCCTCCATTTGGGAGGAGGATAAATTGATCCTCCAAATATGGAGGGAGGATGAAAAAATGGAGGATCACTCTAAAACACTATTCACTCTTTTTTTATCTTTAATTTTGTCTTTATAACTTAATATGTATATTCAATATTTATAAAATTAGTTTCATTAAAAAGATATTAACAATACTTTTAAAATGAGACCAATATTAATTATATTTAACAAAAAATTAAATAAAATAATTTAAATTTTGGAGAAAAATTGGGTAAAATTTGAAAGAAAAGTGAGAAAATGTTCAAATTTTTGAAGAAATAAAGATGTATGATTGGAGTTGTCATAAATAATAAGATCCTCTAAATCCACTTTTTGAATAAAAAATATTATTTTGTTCCTCTATATTAGAGAAGGAAAATGATTGGTGGCCCTAAAAAAATTGCCCCTAATACCCCTAATTTCCATCTTTAAAATGAGACCAATATTAATTATATTTAACAAAAAATTAAATAAAATAATTTAAATTTTGGAGAAAAACTGGGTAAAATTTGAAAGAAAAGTGAGAAAATGTTCAAATTTTTGAAGAAATAAAGATGTATGATTGGAGTTGTCATAAATAATAAGATCTTCTAAATCCACTTTTTGAATAAAAAATATTATTTTGTTCCTCTATATTAGAGAAATAGAGATGTATGGGTTGGAGATGCTCTAAAGGAGACTAAAAAAATCAAGTTGTTAAAAAAACCAAGCTATTTTAACTCTTTCCAAACAAAGACTGATTATTTTAACTTATATTATCTTTTTATAAATTTTAACCTTAAATTAACTATTTAAACCTTTGCCAAACAAAACGTTTATATTTTTGCAGAGATATATCCTAATTCTCCTAAGAGAAACATTTATTCGCCATTCAATTATGTCTTAAATTTAATTAAATTCTTTATATAATATACGTAATTGCACGATGTTATAAATCATTATAATAGATAGCAATTTTTTTTTAAAAGATTAAAGTAGATTATAAGAAATTTATTTGAAATATTGAAACTGAAGCAGACAAAAAGTGAGTCGCCATACTTATTATTTTCCGAAATCTTATTACGGTTCAGTACAGAATGGTGTTTTGCGAAATTGGTTAAAAATTAATTTTTTTTAATTGTTTTAGTTTTTTTTTTTTTGTTAAAAAAACTAACTTTTTTGCTAAAAAAAATTAATTTTTTTGTGATTTTTTTGTGTAGAAAAATTAAAAAAACTAAATATTTTACCAACTTTCCAAATTGCCTCGGAGTACGAACACAAATGCACAAACAATTCAACAAAACACTCAAAATCCTCACTAAATGGTAAACTAAACATAGCAATTACATCGCGAAGCAATGCTTAGACACTCTCAATAACATCAATTTGCAAGTACTATTTTAGCTTTGTTTGTAAAGTTGATTATTTTAGTAGGTTATTTTAATTTTTAATTATTTGAATAGTTTAAAATTTTTATATTTAGAAAGATAATTAAATTTTTTTATAATTAAATGTGATATTTATGAGAGAAAAAAATAAAATAATTATAAATTTGATGTGATATTTTATCTTATTAAAGCTATGTTTGATTTTAACTTTTTGACTAAAAAAACAAAAAAGGACAAAATTCACTACATAAACTAGTAAGACAAAATGTCACATTCAAACCATAATCATTACACTTTTTCTCTTACAAAAATTTAAAAAAAAAAAAAGTCAAAGATAAAAATCAAATGAGACTAAAAAATTGAGACTAAATTGTCAAAAAATCAAAAAATTAAGCTAACTCTTTCCAAACGATGACTAATTATTTAAACCTATTTTTGTTTTTATAAATTTTAACCTAAAATTAACTATTTAAACCTTTGCCAAACAAGACGTTTATGTTTCCACACAGATGTATCCTAATTCTCCTACAAGAAACATTTATTCACCATTCAATTACGTCTTAAATTTAATTAAATTCTTTATACAATATTCTTAATTACACGATGTTCTAAATAATTGAAATAGATAGTAATTTTTTTAAAAGATTAAATTAGAGTATATGAAATTTAGGTCAAGTTTGACATATTGTAAAAAAATTAAAAAGTCAAAAAATTATTCAAAAAGTTAAAAAGTTAACACTATTCACGAAAAGTCAACAATTACAGCTGCACAACTCCAAATCCAAATTTTTTCATACAAATTAATTTTTACAATTTTTTATTACACATTTTTCATGAAAAGTCAAAAAATTAACCCAAACATCCATATTTTCTTCCTTACTTTTTTAATCTAAAAAGACAAAAAATATACTTATTTAAGACCCCTCAAACAATCCCTTATTTGAAATATTGAAAATGAAGCAAACAAAAAGTGATTCGCCATACTTGCATCAATCAAGAATTTTTATTATTTTCTGAAATCTTATTACGGTTCAGGACAGGGTACAAACATAAATGCACAAACAATTCAACAAAACCCTCAAAATCCTCACTAAATTGTAATGTAAACAAAGCAATTACATCACGAACCAAGGTTTAGACACTCAATAACATCAAACACACACCCTACTACATGACTGATTCACAATATAGGCACTAAATTCTAACCAGAGATATCAATAGACTTGATTTCCGGCTTCTGCACTTCCTCTTTCGGAATCGTGACAGTCAGAACTCCGTTCTCCATGGAAGCTTTCACTTGATCCATCTTCGCGTTTTCCGGCAGCCTAAACCTTCTCATGAACTTCCCGCTGCTGCGCTTAACCCTGTGCCAAGTATCGTTCTTCTCCTCCTTCTCCACATTTCTCTCTCCGCTAATCTGCAGAACTCTGTCGTCCTCGATCTCCAGCTTCACTTCCTCCTTCTTCATCCCCGGTAGATCGGCCTTGAACAAGTGAGCATCCGGAGTTTCCTTCCAGTCCACGCGGACGTTGGCGATTGCGGAATTTTCCTGCGAAAATTCGGAGAATGGAAAGTTTCTGAAGGGGTCGAGAGAGAAGGGATCGAAGATGCTGTTGCCTTGTCGGTTGCCGAAGAAGCTTGGGATCATCGACGTCTTACTTGCTGCGAGGTTTGATATGCGATCGGAATTCAAGGAAAGAATTAAGGGATGTGATTTGTGGGAGCCTTAAGTACTCTGTATACCGAGAAATTTTTACACGTAAATGTTCTGCGACGAGGGGGAAGGGACGTGTTTGGTACTTACAGCAAATAGAGGATTGTTCCGGTACTTTCGCGGCTTATCGACGCTAGCTAACGAATTTTTTGGGGAGTAAATGCTGACGAACTTTCTAAGTGCGTGCGAGAAATCTCTAGACTAATGTCCCAAATCCCAACTGAAATATTCACAATGGGTGTGTTTATTCGGACGGATCAGATGATGAGGATTATAATTTATTGGACTGTTAATTTTAAGATATATTATTCGTGGACTATTTGTTTGTATTGGATATGTATTTTAAGTTTGTTTAGTTATATCTGAATTGAACTATTTTTAATGAATCTAATATTTGGTTGATGGACTGAATAAAGATAAATGTTCAAAAGATTATTTTATCCTTGTAATTTATAATTTTTATTTAATATATAATTTTAAATTTGTAATTTCTAATTTAGCAATACTAAATTTTTTTAATTTATAAGGTCATAATTTTTAATCTATTATTTTCAATTAAATTTAATTTATAATTTATATTTTTTATTTAATATATAATTTTAAATTAACAACACTAAAAAAAATAATTTATACATCTTCAAAAGATTATTTTACCATTTTTTAATTATTTATTAAGTAATAGCGTGAGGGTGAAATAGATATTTCACACATTAGTCTCCATGGAAATAATCTCACCCCTTCACACATTAGTTTCATGGGATATCAATTCCATAGAAATAATTCCACCCCTTTAGGATACAATAATCTCTCATACGAGGGACTAATAGTACGAAGGGACTATTAATCCGGAGCAAAAAAATTGAACAAAAAAATAGACTATTAGTCCAAATGGACTAATAGTCTAATCTCATGGAATAATCCCTCAAAATAAATACACTCAAAGAAGCTAGCTCGGCCCAATACATGTAGTGGGCTTATCCTTCCTGATTACTCCAAAATTAGGGTGATTCTATTTGCACTTAAAAAATAATTCAGTACACTTAATTAAAATTTTAATTTCTATTATATCTTAATTTTAATTTATTAATAAGGATAACACACATTAAATTTTAAAGTAAAACATATATTTTTTTCATGGCACACCCTAATTCCTTATATGTGTTCTTTAGATTCAAGTTTATTATCTTTTTGTTTTTTTTTTTTTTTTCAAATTTCAATTATTTTATCTTTTTCTTCCTCACACTAAAACTCAAATTCACCTCACCAAAACTTACCATTATCAACACCGTTGTTTCTTTTTGTGTTGTTACTTGTAAATAGAAGAAAGTTTAAACAAAATCAAATAATAGATGGGGATAATAATCAAAACTATTTTTTAAAACAATCTATCAAAGATAATGTAAGTATTCACATAAAATATCGAATTACAATTATTAATTTTTGTGTTTAGGGTATTATTTAAATAAAAGAAAAAACTCTTTAAAATTGCATTTGGATGGGAAAAATTAAAATAAAAATTCGAGGCTAAGATAAACAAAAATTATAAGAAACTTATATATAGATACTGTACCGAAATATATAAGGAGAGATTCGAGAGACAAGAGAGAGCATTGGGCATCGTTCAAAAAAAAAAGAAAAAAAAGAGAATTGGATGATTAAGGTCGAATTGTGCAACACTGAGGCCGTCAATTAAAATCTCTTAACTTTATTTGCTTGACAAACTATACATTTTTTACCTGTTTAATGTCAATCAGGTTTGTACATAGTAAGAGCATAAAATGAGCAGAAAATTGCTTCCTGCACGTGCGGAGGCCCATTCTCGCATGTGCGGCCTTTACCTCGCAGTCGAGCAGAGCCTCAGCTTCGCGCACGTGTGGATGGTTTTTACCGCACGTGTGACACCGCTTCCTGCACGTGCGGTGACCATTCCCGCACGTGCAGCCATCCCTCATAAATTGTATCACTGTTTTAAACCTGTTTGGAAGACAGTAGAGGTATAAAAAGACAGAAAATAGACTGGAATAGGGTTTTGAAAAATTCCAAGAGATAGAAAAGGCTAGGATTTGGAAGAGAGAATTCTCAAGCTTGCTATTCCATGGATGGTTCTTCTACCTCTACGTCTTCCAACTCCTCCATGAGTGGCTAGACTCTCCTTTCTAGGGTTTTGATGAAACCCTAGCTATGTAATTAGGTTTTCTCTTTGCTTTTTGATTATGTAAAGGTTTGAACGAATTGTATGATGTTTAAGAAGTTTCAAATATATTTTTTTTATTATTTTTTTAAGTATTCTTCTTTTTGTGATTGTTGAATACTTTCCATACAATAGTTTTCTATTCTTTCATATTTAAGGTATGAGACGAACCATACTACAAGGGATGAGTCATGTCGTTACCTTAGTTTAGAGTGAATGATTCGTACTACTTGAAATGGTTTGTACTTGTACATTGAACGTGATGATTTTTTTTTTATATAAATGTTTCGAGCTTGTAGTTGTGAAATATTATTCTGTTCGAACTGTAATATAATTGAGTCTCAAATTGAAGCCTTATTTATGTAACTAGTGATGAATTCATTACCCTAGATTTTCCACAATCAGTAATTACAATTTCAATTTTAATCGCTTTATTTAATTTAATTATTATTAGTTTATGAACAATCATCTTTTTCATCAAAATTAATTTAGGAATTTAGCATTTAAATTAGTTTAATTTCACAATTGTCCCTGTGAATTGATACCTGGACTTGCCATTATTCTAAGGAATTTGGTATAGTTTAGTGTTTAATTTTGGTGTGTGAAACGACCTATCAAATTTTGGCGCTGTTGTCGGGGACTTCTAGCGAAATTAAATAATTTAAAGTTACATTTCTGTTTTTATTTTTAGTTTAGGATTTTATATTTTTGTGTTGTTGTGTGTGCAAAATGTTTGCAATTAGAGCCGTCACAAAAATGCAAGCGAAGTGCAGCCAAGTTCAAAAAAAAAAAAAAATAGCAGCATCAAATCAAAGTGTTTAAAAAAAAAAGAAAAAAGAATCAAATACTCACAAACAGAGCACCAAAGTGCTAAAAAGAAAGAAAGAGCTTAAGTGGATTGGAGACAACAGTTTACACGTCAAGCACCCTAAGACGAGTAAAGCGTTTTCGTTTAACCGCTGTGAGTATTTTCTCCTTTGGTATTCTGTTTTCATAACTTAGTACACAGAGTTGAAACTTAGCGTGTGTATATGTGTGTGAGTAGTGTATGCACTGGCGCCGTTCTTGTCGCCCCTGAATTATGGAATTTGGACCTTGAACTCGACAGAACTCTCAGGAAACTTAGAGCCTCTTCTCGTGTTCCCAGGCTTGAATATCTATACCCATACCTCAGACCAATTGAGATAGCGAATTCTAATGGCCTAAATGGGCCCAACTGGACTCTTAAGAATTACTTCACACCCACTGCATATATATTACTATCATGCATTTAGCTACCGGACACGACTGCTGCTCATTATGAGATTAAGTCCAGTACCATCAAAATGCTCCCATCATTCCATGGACTAGCTCATGATGACCCTTATAAACATCTGCATGAATTTCTAGAAATTTGCTTTACAGTGAGGATCTAGAATTTCACCAATGAGGCCGTCATTTTGCGACTGTTCCCATTTTCACTGAAAGATAAAGCCAAACATTGGTTAAACTCCTTACCTGCTAATTCCATCACAACTTGAGACCAATTACAACAGAATTTTTTGGAGAAATATTTTCCCATTGATAAGACAAACCAACTCAGGCGAGCCATCACCAATTTTGCTCAAATTGATGCGAACAATTTCATGAGACATGTGAGAGACTTTGTGACCTTCTCTAATAGTGTCCCCACCACCAAGTGTCTGATTGGCATTTTGTTCAGACCTTTTACTATGGCTTAACTAAGCCTCACCGCCAAATGGTGGATTCTTCTTGTGGTAGGACATTCATGTCCAAAAATGACGTTGAGGCATGGCAATTATTTGAGAACTTAAGTGATAATTCCCTTCACCATGTCTTTAGAGCCCGGCAAGTCCGGAAACTAGTAGTTGGAGCCCCGAAAAGAGGGGGCATTTATGAGGTAGGGCAAAACTTAGAGTTAGCCCAACAAGTAGAGGCATTGTCAAAAATGGATCAATTATTAGTTATGGGACATGCCTCTATACAACAAGATTAGCCTCAATTTCACAACGCATATGTTATTTGTGCAAGTCGGCTCATGACTTGATTCAGTGCCCTTCAGCATCACAATTTCTGAAATTCGTCCAAGAGCATGTGAATACGGCTTAGGGATTCTCTAACTCGGGTAATGACCCATATTCCAACACATATAATCTGGGATGGAGAAATCACCCCAATTTTTCATGGAGACCTCATTCACAAGGCACTTCTCATAATCCTCCACCACCAAGGCAGAATTTTAATAACTTTTCCAACCAATCTTCCTACCAACCTCCACAACCTTATCAACCTCCATAACCGTACGAGCAACCACAACCCCCGCCTATTCTTCAAGGCAACTCTTCCTTTGAGACTCAAGTATTGGAAGTTCTCTTAGAATTTAAGGGGTTAGCACCAGTAGTTCACTCCCATACTCATTCTATTGCCAAGACAGAAACCCAATTAGGTCAAATGGCTAATAACATAAATAAGAGAGAGAAGGGAAAATTATCGAGTCAGACTATGACCAACCCTAAGGGTCAATATGGGGCAGAGGAGTTGGGTGGGAATGGAAAGCACCATGAGTAGGTGCAAGCGGTGATTACATTGAGAAGTAGGAGGGAGTTAGAGCCTCGGCCAGTTGCGTCTGATGCAACTAAGGCTAAGAAGTGTGATCACGGTGGTCAACCCAAAGAGAGCAAGGGTGAGGGAGAGACACCTAAGCGGGATGACTTAGTCTCTAGTACTTCACATGAGTCTAAGGCACCATACGTGCCAAAGGCACCCTTTTCCCAATGCTTTGATACACTGTCTCCTTTTAATAAGAATGCGACATCCATGAAAGCGATGATGAAGGTCTTTAAAGAAGTAAAAATCAACCTTCCCCTGTTGGAGGTGATTAAGCAAGTACCCTCCTATGCTAAATCTGAAGGACCTTTGTATGCAAAACATAAATCTAGGACACCCATGTCCCAAAAGGTCATACT